ATCCCCTGCTCCCCTCAAGAAATTCGTGACCTAAACGTTCAAGTTAATGATATAAATGTAAATAATTTAAAGTACACGGTCGCTGTTTATCCCTTCGCCACGCAAAAGCTTTTAAAATCTCATATTACGGGTGTGTTATACAAAGCCATAAAATCAACATTTTAAGTCGACATCTTAGCAACGAAGTTTAAATCTTTTATTTGATAATAATTTCTATCTTACCAAGAAGTTTATAAAATTAATAGTGAATAATGGTATACTAAATTTGTCATATCGGCAATCATTTCTATTAGTATTTTATATTTTTTCTATTAATCTTTATAAATATTTAATAGAAATTTCTAATTCAAATTTATTTTATACATTTATTCTGTTATTTGTAAGTTTGAAATCAATAAATTAATTGTATTATGGAATTCCATGACTCAAATATTAAAATGTTATTATTAAAATAGTATCAATAAAGTATTGTGGTCTCTGTGGATATTAATAATATAATAGTCGATCTACAAAACACATTTGTTATGAAATATGTTTTTGTTTTAAATATCATGTTAAGACAGTAAGTTGTCGATTTTTTTAAGGGCATTGACTCTGTAATATGTACACATTACCATTGATTAAAAGTAATAATTAATAATAGACAGAATAGACTATATTAGTACGATATACATTTTATTTAGACCGGCTAATTTATTAACTGTAGCAATTATTCTTCTATATTTTTACGAAAAATTCCATTTTTATTTTTGTTAAGTCAATATTTTTTATGTAGCAACCCTCATACTTATTAACAAATTGTGAGGCTAAATAATGTTTCACGAATATAAATATATAATTATTGAACGTTAAATCAATAATTTGATTCTAATAAGTATTAAGTATTTAAAATTATGAAGAAAAGACTCCAAATTTTTAAGGTGATTATATGCATAGTACATAGTAATAAAATTTCTGTTTTATATATACAAATTCAAAATTATGGGATGTAAAAATATAAAAAACATATTTTTGACTATTTTATTTATTACTCATATTTTTACTTATGAACGATAGGTAATGTTAATAATATCTATTATTTTATTTTATATAATTTGATGTGCACATAACGCATAATATACTTAAATTAGTATATTTTTTGCAATAGAATTTTTGAAAAAAAATAATTAATTAAATTTATCAACAAAAAAGTAAAAATAAAATAATTATTTTATATAATGTGTTCAACAATTAGTAGCGTGAAATACTTCGAATGTATATAACCCTGAATTTCATATTCGATATTTTTTTTACTGAATAAAGAACTTAATAATATTCTTATTTTGCAAATTTAAAATTAAAAACAATTTTCTGCGCATACTCATAAACACAATCTATTTTTTAATTACGTAATCCTTTCTCTTTGAGTATGAACTTTAGTTAAATTAATTTTCTAAACAACTTTAACCTTTAAAGCTTTTTATACCCCTAAAAATAATTATTATTAAGAGTGAGTTAAAGTTATCATTATCGTTTAATTTTTTAAATAATTTATCAACAATTTCATGAAAATAATTTTGTATTATTTTTTGAAAACTCACGCGATGTGTCATAAAAATGAAATCACATAAAACACTGGGACTTAGTAAAATTTAGTTAGCTGTTAAAATATAAACTATAAATATAACATGCATAAATTAAAACTTTGATTTATTGTTAAGATAGATAAATATTTTAATGTTTAAGTGGTTTAAAACAATTTAGTCCAAGCTTAAACTGAAAAACTACGGTGTAATTTAAAAAATAAATTATTTTGCTTCGGGTGCGTGGAATTTTTTAAATAAGTAAAATACTAAATCCTTTTTGTATACCTATACAATAAAAAAACCAAATGAAATTCAGGGTCAGACATTCAAAATATTTTGTGCTACTTTCAATGTTGAATACACTGTACAAATTATTATAGCACAAAATTAATGACATATTCTTAATTATTATATTTTATAACATAGTATTATTTTCTCATTTTACGATGTTTGAAAATAGTACAAAATTGTACCATTGTTCATTTGTACGTTCTCCTCTTTATTTTTTTAAAATTGGATATTTTGTGCATGCTATATAATACTACATTTATACATCTTGTCCTCAGAGAAAATGGAAAATAATAAAAAACTTTACTACATTTAAATTTTTTTTAACAAAACTTTCCAAATTTCAATTATAAATTATAGCTTTATAATAAAGATATCTCCTAATTATTTTTTATTTAATCTAGATTTTAAACAATGTTATATTAGGTATACTAAAATTCACGTTTTTTATCAAAATAAATTCTAATGAATTCTTTAAAATTATTAATTTATAATGACAGTAAAATTTAACAGGAAAATGTCCTCGTTGGCATAACAATAACAAATTATTGTTAGTTTTATAAATTAAAAAAAAATTAAGTTTTGGCATACAATTCGATTGTAGCCCATACTCTCGGACATAAAAATTATATTACCTAATATAACGTATATAATTGATGAAAAAAAGAAATAACTAAATATTGCTCAGATGCTATTTGTAAAATGTCTTTGTTATACGAGAAGTCGTACTCATACAGTATATTGTCGTATGGTTAATCGTTAAGGTATAATATTAGTATCTATATAAGTTTCTCTCTACTAATTAAATTAATATTAAGCATTACTCTAATTCCTAAAATTCTTCTAAATTCACAATGAAACCATTAAAACTTGAATAAAAATATTTTAGTATGTATCATAATTAAAAAATAATAATTAATTATTTTACTACTGTCATTAAATTTTCTACCTACTGAATTGTTTAATTTTTAAAGTATCATGCTGCAGACGATTTTAAGTCGTGCATCACTTTTGAGCTTTTTACAAGTTTTGTTCTAGTAATAATAATCATATCAAACATAAATATTAAATAATTTAGTATAACGTTATTATAATGATTACTTTTTAAATAAATAATAATATCAACAACTAACAATCTACAACTATGAAAATCATAACATGAAATGTTATATTGATTTCAAGAAATTTAAGATTATTTTTTTTTTACTATTATCATAAAAGTATATTTCGACTAATAATAATTTTATCATTAATAATTATCCTTCATTTATATAGACAATTTCGTAATAAATATATATATATATTTGTGTCGTTACTCGTTATTATAATAAGAGATAAGTAAAAATTATCAAAGTAAGTATTAATCGTTGGTATATAGTCATTAAGTTTTAATGTTAGATTTTTACGTACAATTACTACTGTACTAGATTTTTTTTGTTATTATTAATATAAAAAAATGAAAACATAAAATCATCTTTTACATCATCGGATTGTACCGACAAAGGAAAAATTAAAACTATGATTCCTATGGATATAGTAGATTACGATGAATATAATATTATGCACACGATTATTGGTATTAGACAAAACAAAAAAACAAACTCGTACGTCATTTGTATCATTGGTTTTAAAATAATATACTATTTTAGTATGATATTCTAAAATCGATGCTTGTATACAAATAGGAATCTATAGTCCAACCAATGAATACTCTTCCGAACAGTTAATAATAAAACTGGTTAAAAATAATATATTTGACGTATACACTATATTTTAATATCGGTCGCTTTACGATTCCCCAAAGTGTTGCGTGAAAACCCAACACAATCTTATAAAGCAGTAATTTTTTTACCACGGGATATAAAAAAAAAATTTTTGCCGTGCCCAAAATTCGAAATTTTCCCTTAAATTTTTAAGTTATTAGAATTTTATTTATAGCTATGCAAATAAGTTTTGTAATATAGAATATTTTCGCGAGCAAACTATTAAATGATGGCGGGCCGTAGTGTGGCCACCTCTGAAATAATAGAATATTATATTATATGTATACGTTTTATAATTATTATTTTTATTTATATCATATATTATATTCTATACTCTATAATAATAACAGACCAGACAATGTGAGGTCGAACGTCGAACCATATTGGGACGGAATGCTTGGGTACCAGAAAAATGATTTATTATAAAGAAATGACACTTTGGGTCATCGTGAGAAACGACCGTGTTTCCAATGAATTTTCGGTTAAAAATGTGTGCGTATTTAACGCGTTTGCTCGGATACCCGTTGTTGAGAGCAAACTGCTCGTTTTTCACTAACTATCGGCCATTAAATCCATTACACGCACGAGCATAAATACTCAACAATTCAAGATGGTCAACAACAATGATAATCTAATCGTTTTGGGTAGGTACACAAAACCGTCTTCGTCCTTTTGGAATTCGGACCCAGTCCGCAATTCTCGGTAAAAGGACACATATACGTCCTGCCACACCATCCATTTGTTATCGATTCGATCTACCTGTCATTGAACCACCCCCGAACACAATACGCGTGCAAGTGTATTTGTGTATTGTCGTACAACGCTCATTGTGTTTTAATGTGCATTCCTTAATATTGTGGGTACATGGCGTCTTTCGATACTTCGTTATTTACCAACCGTGTTTGTGTACTACAGTGTGTCGATATTATTTTTGGTTGTTTTATAAAATCATGTACACTCAATAGGACACGAACGCATTTCAAACTATCGGCCGTTTGTTCACGGTTGATAAGATAAAACGAACTGTGCGGGGTGAGGACTGAAATGATAACCCCCGCTATTCACCTTGCCTGAACTCTGACGTTAACTTCCAGTTTTTGCCTCGCTCGGTGCGATCAGCTGCTGGCTGCTGTAGTAACGTAGTATTCACTATCGAGCGATTCCGCGCGCCGTTCGGTACTCCGGTGTGCGCCCTCCACCACCACTCCTGTTTCCAATAACGTTCCAATTCGGTTTTCAGTTACCACTCGACAGTTTTAAATTCTGCGTCGATACTCGCACTGCTCTTATATCGTGGACATACACTTACGATTTCGTTTCGGTGCTCGCCCGCGTTGTATATATTGTATATTATATCGTAATATATTAATAAATATACATAAAAATGGGCTGCGTATCCAGCAAGAGAAAAACTGGTTCGAGTTCGGTCATGTTCAAAGTGAGTACGACCGCGTAATTTTTTTTTTTTAATATTTTTATGAAAATTAATAAATGTTGTACGAAAATACAATCAAATTACAGGTTACAAACATCGATTACAAAGGTAACGAAATAAATCATGGTCAAATTGAAATCACTGACAGTGAATTGGTAATGCATTATGCAAGTAAAAAATCAGACATTACATGTCCACTGAGCACAATCCGACGCTACGGATATGAAGATTTCATGTTCTGTTTCGAAGCTGGACGCTCGTCTCCCTATGGCCAAGGAATATTTGCATTTAGAAGCAAAGATGCAGAAAATATTTTCAATTCTATCAAAGCAAAATTGCAGGTATTGTTGATTAGTATTATTATATTTTAGTATATAATAAATGTTTTCATTTTCAAATATTTCTAAACAAATAATATTCACTCGTGCCGACTTAGGACTATTTGATACATTTTAGAATAGTTTTGAAATAGATGTTTAACTTTACTATTCAAAAATTAAGTGTTTATTTTACTCGAAATTTAAAATATTATTTTTATATTTTACTAGTTGATTTAGATATTTATTGAAAACTTCATATACCTTACATAAATTAATCAATTATACAAAATTTCAAAATTAAATTAGTGAAAATGAATTATCTCTATTTATTCAAATTGTTCTTCGATTATATTTAATTGGATACTAGATATTAATTCTGAATTATGCACTGAATAAATAAAATAATATTAAATTTAAACATTATAAAGTTATGCTACAAGAATTTTTAAAGTTAAATTCATTTATATTTTGTTAAATATTAACTTAAATCTGCATTTTTTCAATTTTCCACTTAGTAGTATTTTCAAAGAAAAAAATTATTATAAATCTATTTGAAATTAGATTTGAAATAAAAGAATTTGATTATTAACTATACTTTAGATTTAAAATTTTTTATTTTGGGAATTTTGCTTTAAAACGTCTGATGCTAATATAATTTTGTCATTAAGAGGACGTCGTACCCGCATATGTTGTCTCCGTCTTACAAATGGATAACATAGCAAATTTTACGCTCAGCAGATCTCATTTTTTTCCCGGTAATTTTAAAATTAGAGTGAATTGATCTCTTATAAAATTTAAATGTAAAAATATTATTTAGACGACCTCATGGGCTTTTTACTATATTTTAATTTTGAAGCAAGTTATAAGTGTTTTAAAACGTATAAAAAATTTACAATTTTAAAATACTTATAACTTGCTTCAAAATTAAAATATAGTAAAAACTAAAAAGCCCATGAGGTCGTCTAAATAATATTTTTACCTTTAAATTTTATAAGAAGTCAATTCACTCTAATTTTTAAACTAACGTAGAAAAACGTGATCTGCTAAGCGTAAAATTTGCCATGTTATCCATTTGTAAGACGAAGACAACACATGCAGATATCACGTCCTCTTAATGATTCTATCCTGTAGAATCAACCAAATTATTTTATTAGTTAATAGAAGAAAATATTCCACAGCTTGTTTTTCAATATTTTTATCGCAAATATTGTATTTCCTATACAAACTTCTTAAATGGGTTGGGTATCAGCAGTGGATTAAGGGGAAAATATTATAATTTGAGAGTGACTATTATAAATTAAAATATAATTTTGTAAAATTACAGAAAATCGGCATTGAATCACTAAATTACATATATTTGTCGACCAAATTAATATTTTAATTTTAATTATTATATTAGTATAATAATAAAATATTTTTTATTTAGTGTAAACCAGTTTATTATCTGTTTATTAAATGTTGACCATTTAATATCATACTATTTTTATAATGTGTGCCTATAAAAAAATAAAAAATAAAAAAAAAATAGTACAATATTTAAATCAATAATTTGTACTCTTTAAGTGGTTGGTACAATTTTATGAGTAAAAATTACATATATTTCATATTTTAATCGTTATTAGTAATATATTTTTAATTAAATGTATCATATAAGTTTTTAAATATTTGAGTTGTATCTTTTGTGTATATTTTAATGATTTTATGTGCAGATTAACTGATTAACCTTAAATGTAAATCATAAATTATCATCATAATATTTATGATTTATATTTAAGTGTCTTAAGTAATTACATAAAGTGGCAACCACTATACTACAAATAATTTATATGCTTATGACAGATTGGTTAAAATATATACACCAATCATACACTTTTTTCTCGTTAAAAAGAATATTTAGGTTAATAGCAAGGATTTTTAATTAAAGAAACATTTTTATTTTAGATTTTAAACAATACAAATATGGCTAAAGATATGTCTTCTGAAGTACATTATTATTCTGGCCAACCATGCACAAGCAACGATATACTTGAAGAGGTTTATGATGAAGTTAGATTTAGTGGAATAAAAAGCTACAATGAACCGAATAAGAATGAGGAATCTCCCTACCTCGAGTTAAATCCTGAGTATCTGTGCAGTGCTTCGTATGAAAATATGCTGAGCCCCAACCAAAATGATGGGATAATGTATGATGATAATATTTATGTGATTCCTAAAGAAGAAGTTACATATACTGAAGTTGAAATTGCTGCTTGTAAGACTAAAAAAAAGAAGGCATTGCCAGTTCCCCCAAAAAAAGAAATAACAGAGTATACAGTTATTGATTTTGAACGTACAAAAAATTTGTTCCGAAGTACTCCTAGTGTTTCCTACAAAAAAACTAGACATGATTTTGGAGCAGTTACTCCTTAATATTATCAAAAACTACTACATTTGTTTGCCTACATAAAGTTTTTGTTATTTTAATCGAACTATAAGATCAGCTTATTAAAGATCATTAATCATTGACAATTTTTTTTTTTTTATTAATTAAATATTATTTATTTAAATTAGTTTTTATTTAATTAAGTTTTATATTTTCACTCAACATATTTTTTTTTATTTTTAGAAAAGATGCTTTCAAATTTTAGATAACAAATAACTCCCTGTTATAAAAGCTAAATATGATATTTATGTAATACTTTTTCAAATTGTATTTGCAATTTTCTTATAATTTGTATTTTGATTTATGTATATTTTTCAATAATAACCATGACATTAAATTTTATGTTTTAAAATTTGTTAAAATTTACAGGTTACTCCAAATATTTATCATGTTATTTACATTATTATTAACTAAAAATGTACTGAATCTAAAATTATTAATATGTTTTGTGATAAATTATCTAAATAAGATTTATGGTTCATTTTAGTAGTTTAGATTGGTAATACAAATTTTGTACAATTTTATTATTTAACATAGATATATTGTTGCATTTAATCGTTTAATATTTGTTTATATCTTATTATACAAAGTAGTTATTACTTTTAAGGTAAAATTCTACTAATGTATTGATACATTTATTAAAAATAAATATAAAACATATATCAAGAAAAAGTATAATGTATTTCAAGTAGTAATAACATTTATATTTTCAGTAAGTTCATTCCTATTAACAAAAACCTCTATATATAATATATATATATATTATAATAAATCATATTGTGCTTGACTGAAAGTTTGTACATAAAGTTATGCACTTAAAAAAAAAAAACTGATTAATTTTGAATTTTTTACTTAAATATGAAATTATACTGTATGTAAATCAATCTGTATGAAAAAGTAAAATTGTGTGCCAAAAGTTATTATCTAAGTCAGCGGTTCCCAAACTGTGCTCCACGGAGTCCTTGGGGCTCCGCAATGGTTTCCCAAGGGCTCCGTTCATTATTGTCTGTATGTATACAGTTTGTGTTAATTATGCTTCATAAAACACAGGTTAAATATTTCTTAGGGCTCCATGAGAAACTTCTCCTTAAAAAAAGGCTCCGAGGCTGAAAAAGTTTGAGAACCGCTGATCTAAACAATAATATTACATATGAATACATTCTTTATATCTAATTATAATAATCAGTGGCAATTTTATGGAAGAGAGATATGGGATAGATCCCTTCCCTTTCCTTTTTTTTAAAACTTGGTATAACAGTTTAGTTGTTACTTAACTTTATTATTCTATGAGCTATGAGTGAAATTATCATTTATTAAATATAAACATATTTTTAATATTTCTATATTTAATTAATTACAATAATAATAGCAACATAAAAAATAGAAAATTAGTATTTATTTTATAAATAAATAAGAGTTTAATTTATTATGTTCGTTTATCATTATTATAAAATGCCTTATACACAGTATCTGAAGTGTTAAAAGGTTGCAATAGGTATACCCAATTTTTTTTAATGATGAAAGACTATTTTTGACTGAGATACCAGGCTCCAGCATTAAAAATATACACAATTTTTGGAGAACTACTATTAGTTATATAATTTGCATAAGAACTAAAAAGTTATTTCATATCTCATTAGTGTAGAGTGGTAAAATTTTTTAGAAGGAGCTGTAGCCTTCCTAAGGGTAGACATGTATCGGCTAGTGGAGGCCTTTGTCTGAATTTTAGGGAACTAAGTTCTCCCTTTCTTAAGAAAATCCTAAATACGCCGCTAGCTATAAGTACTTAGTTCATGTTTATTAATAATTATTACTTGTTTATTAGGTGTTTGGACTATTGTAAGCTATAAACAAATCTTAATGAAAATCTCTGTGTTAATTGACAATAGTATATAAGTAATAATTTGTCAAAAATTGATGTCTAATATTTATTTTTTAAATTAAAAAAACATTTGAAGTTATTGTAATATATTTATTGATTTCTTTAATAATTAGTAATTAAATAACAGTTCATGTTTATAACAGTTAACAATATAACAGATTTTTTTTTATCAAACAAATATGATATTAATGTCACATATATTATTATTATTATTATTATTATTTATAAGCAATATTTATAGACACCTATACATTATCTAAATAACTGAATGTATTGTGCAAAGAACACAGAGACCCTGATCTTATGAATTGTGTTTGAATTGGTATACGTACTTACCTAATTATCACTAACCTATTTGCTACATTTGCATAGTTTGGAGAGCAATGTTTTAATGTAATTCTGTAGTTTCAATTTTATTTTTTCTTTGTGCCAACTTGAAAAAGTTTTATAGACATAGTTATCAATTATTATAAACCTTTGTCATATTAGTGGTGGTAGGGAAGGGTGTCTCTAAAGGTAATATTATAAATTATGATATTATTTATACTTTATAAACAATAAATATAAGTATTTTAATTAATCAATAAATCAATTTTCATTGTCTATACCAAACTCCACTAAATTCAACATTCTATAATAACAACAAAGTATTGACAAATGACAATCGCCTTGAATGTTGTTAACTTAATTCACTGTGTTTTTTAAGTTAAAAATTGTAAAAAATCAGCTACTGTTGAAAACGGTACACAGAATAAACTGTACTTACCAATGAATACCTACTATCTACTAAAAATATTGATTTTATTCAAAAATTGTATTTTGTCATACAAATTATTTTCACGATTTAAATAGATAATTACCAAATTGCTTTGTTTTTATACCTAATTATATTTTTTATATTATCCGATGAACCATAATAGTATTTACGGCCAACAAGTTTTTATACAACTGTTAATATTAATTTGTGATAGTATTTTTTTTTTAATTATAAAGTATAAGTATTAAGTACCTAATTATAAAAAATAAAATTGTTTATATTTGTGTGTAGGTATATTGAGACTTTTAGAGTGTATATGTGACTGAATGAGATTCGCAAATTGTTAGGCTTAAGCAGACAAGCATAAAGCATTATAGTTTAAAATTTAAAGACCTTATTCAGGTTTATAACAATTATAACCATTGCATAGATACTTACTAATTTACAGACTTATAGTTGTCATGACACCGATCGAGCAAAAGTACAATATAATATTCGTATTACTCGTATTAGTCGTATTGCACTATGCCACTATCGCCTATTTCACACGATAAGAACAATATTTATACCGTTATGTTTGATAAGATCATGACGGAAATAAAGTAATAACACAAAATAAATACAATTTATTTTGTGGTAGTAACTAATAATATGGTTATTACTTATTTCTAATAAAATTACAATTTTTAATTTTAACATAACGGATATAACGCCACGGTGTGATACCTATCAATTGCCAATCGGACCTGAGTAAAATAAATACCTATACATCCTTCAACTAATACAATTTAAAATAACAACAGTTCATAATGTTAACCCAGCATAATAGCATAATATCGTTTAGTATATTTAATTTTTTTAGTCATAAGCATAGACGTAGTATTACAATTTATAACTGTACCTATAGATTAATCAAGTATTATATTATGTCTGATGTCACAAGTCAATTTTTTTTTGTCGAGTAATACTTAAGTACTTGCCTATTTGTTTTTTTTTATCTGGCCGACGTGAAATGCAGTAAATTTGCTTTCAGCAGAACCAATATTGTATTTGTATGTTGTTAACTTTAATATTAGTTTGAATTGCCCTACTCCTACTATGACATTTTAATTTAGGAACATTATCTATGTTGATAAATCGATTATTTTATAATTTATCAACGTATGCTGTGCAAGTTACAAGAATGTAAAATATTATAATTTTATGATCATAATATATTTCAGTCAAATCGAAATTTCGTAAAAAACACTCAAACGCAGATATTATGTTCATGTTATTTGTTCCGCCTTAGGCTGAACACAAATTTTTAATGTAGCTCATTGATCAAAGAAAATAGAAGAAAATATAGTGCACTGATATATCCTTAATTTGTGAATGCATTATACAATTATACAAATCAAGACTTAAGTAATATCATATCGTCACGTCACAAAGATACTAAATAATGTTACCTATATAATAATATTCTGTGATTATATTGTCAAACGCTAGATACCTACGTAGTGTAAAATTAAAACTGAAATGACTTTATTTAGATTAAATCTGTTTGCGCAGACTTCTACGTGTTGTAGGCATAGACATTGATATTAAACGTTAAACGTGTAGGTACCTACTACCTATGCGACATGTGTATTCAAATCATATAAGCTAACACAATTGATAGGTATCTTTGTTAACCGTAACATGTTAGGTACATCTATTTCCTAAATGTTAGTTTCTTTATCGATCAGAAGCTTCTGTGTGAGTGCGAGTGAAAACTACAACAACAGGCATAACAGTAACGTAAATAAATTGGGCATTGGCCTATGTAAATGAGGGTCAGCACTATCACATAAGTCATGAGATGTTTATAGTGATGTAAAAATGTCGTTTTACACCACTAAAAAATCTAAGACATATCCTACTCCACTACTCGTGAAGTTAAAGTGGTCCATAGCTGTGTCTATAACACGATTTTTTTTTTTTAATTTACACGTTGTTACCCATGATAATTATTTAAGTTTAGCTAATTTTATAATACCTATACCAATTAAAACTTTTCAAAAAAGAAACTTATCAATATGGACCGAATCATTGATGAGTTTGACACGGTGAATAGTAAATATTTACAGTTTACTATTTGATACGATTAAAGAGGTGTAGAAATTTAATTTGTATTCGAATTGTTTGAAAATAAGAATTTTATTAATTTTTATTTGAGTTTATTAAGGCAATAGCCAATATTAATATGAAAGTTTCAGTTATATGATATTTAATATGTGAGCATAGTTTCTAAACTAACTACGTAGTACAAAGTAAAAATCTGTGTATTTGATATTACATAATATTTATTATTGAACATACGGTAATAACTAGGGATTTATAAAATGTTAATGCATATTTTTACTAAAACAAGATATAAAAAATTTCATAATTATCATAAATGTTCACGATTTAAATCGTTCTTAGCAAAATGACGCCAATTTTATTTTGCATATTTTTACATATTTCACTAATTTGTAAATATTTTTAAACATATTTTATCATTTCATCGCATTTATATGTTTTCAAGCCATTTTTTGATGAACGAAAACAGTCACATTTATCGGTATATTGTAGTGATTTATATTTTTAATTAGAAACAAAAGATATTATGTCCTTAAACGATAGTACCAATGCAACTGTCTAATCAACGATAGAAAAATTAAAACTCGTAAGCGGACAAATAGAAAATGTTGTATAAAAGAAAATTCACGCTGCTGCGGAAAAAAAATCAGGCTAAATTGATTTTGAAACAATCAATGAAATAATGATGGGCAAACGCCTTTCTAAAAATTTGTAATTAATAATTATCGCCTTCAGATATAACGCGCTTCAAATATTATGCTCCTGCCTCCTATTATATCGGTTGATGTGAAACGATCGTTTAGCCGTTTTAATAGACCTAATAGACGCCATCAATATTGAATAATTTAAAAGAAATTGTAATTATTCAATGTAATACGTCGTTTTGATATTTTTATAATTATATTTGATGTATTACTTCTATAATATTTTTATTACACATAAATCCGTTCCTTCGTAATAATAACTCATGAGTTATGAGACATTGTACCTAATAAATAAGTAGGTAATGACTAACGAGTAATAATAATAAGGCTTATTACGGCGATAGAATTCTTATCGTTCAATTATTTTCATTACAATTTTCAATCGAAATTCAACAAGCCTGCTGCAGCAGCAGCTGTTGGCTAGGCAAGATAAAGATGTCCAGCGCTAGTTTATAGATAATGATACAATATCTATAGATTTGGTATTATTAAAAAAAAAACTATATTATAATATTATGAATAATTAACATGGATTTCGAGGTTTGAATTTTGAGCCTTTTATGTCTGATCGCCTTAATTCGTGAACCGTAGTGGTTTAGTACTCACACTCATAATATAATATTATTAATATTATTAAAATTCGTCTGGCGCGGCAAAATATTTTTTTATCGTGATAAGTACGATTGATAATCTTGCAATGATGTGATAAAAATTAAAAACATTAAAGAAATCAGAAAATAATAATTTTACTAATTTACCTAATAGCTACTACAATAATGAACATTTTATATTTCTGTTAAATTTTATAGAATAAATTGTGTTTAAATAAAAAACTAGTAGGTATCTGTAATTTTTTTTTAAAATTATTTATATAGCAGTATAATCAAAAGTAAATGTTATTATTGGGAGGTCCTGGGAGTACTTACTTTATTAGTAATGATGGTTATTTACTACATCAGCGTTCGTTTGTAATCCATTTATCCATTCTATTTACCTACTTATTGTTCAATATGTGATTGATACTTGCGGTTTGGTATGATGCGTAACAGATATTATAAATTAATGTTCAATATTAAAGAGTATCCATATGTTAATTAACATATTACTTGAGATATTTTGATTTAAGATCAAACAATTTAAAACAATTTTGTTCCAAAGTATTGAGTAAGTGTATTTAAAACTCTAGTATAGCTAGATCACTTGGTTACAAAGTTGGGATATCAATGCTTCTAACTCTATAAACCATGTCTATTTGATGACAAAACAAAATAGGTAGTCCCTTACATATATTCAATGTACAGATTAAAATCATTTACTATATACATTTTTTTTTTTATTTTGTATTTGCTATCAATCTAATAGGATTATAGTGTAAATTATTAAAATGTGTTATTCAAAAAGTAGTACTTGGAATTAGAAAATAGATGCATTTTAAGACCTAAAATTTAGATGATACCATATCTATCTACAATGGTATGTCATCTTTAAAAAAATAATTTTTCAAAATATGTAAACTAATAGTAACATTTTCTTAGTTAATTCCTCAATTGTTATACTATTTTGGTAAAACTATTATATGCAAATTTTGTTTACTTAACCTAACCTCAACTGTTTCGTATAAAATGAAACTTAATTTATATTTGTATTCTAAAAATGTATACACTTTGTTATTTTATATCTCTTCAACATTAACTTTTTTTAATTTATAAATTTTGATTATTATTTTATTTGCATATCATTTTATCTGGCCAGTTATTATTTCATTCAAAATTTTTCATGTGATATATTTTTTTTTTTTTTTTGTTAATCTACGTAGCAGTGGTAAATATAAAACAGCAAGCATGGATTAAATCAACTAGACACCATGAGATTTTTCATTAAAAGCCTGCCTTTTACTGAAAAATAGTTTTTTAAGCATTATTAGCTTAAATAAAATACAATTAAAAGTTATAAATATAAATTTTTTTTTTTTAATTGTTATATGTCTACAATAAATGTGTAAATGGACTTTGACCTTTTGTATTATTAAAACTCATGAGTAATTATTTATCTTAATTTTCATAAAATGTCCTTTTATTTAAAACAATTTTATCTACGTTGAAAAATTATTAAGCACATCAAAAAATAGTGCATTTCAATATTTTATGTATTTTGTGAGATGTTATTAGGTAAGTAACAATTTTACATAAAAGATTATTTTAATAAATAGATTAATAGATTTCAAAACATTGTTTTAAAATTAAGACACTATAAATACTTAATTCAAACCTATATATCCAAAATAGTATGCATAGTTTTGAATGCTAATTTATGTATTAAATTTAATTTGAGTTAAGTACACAATTTATTTCCATTATAGATTTAATTACAGAAGCATAATTTTAAAATTTATCCCCAGGAGTAAAAATTTTAAACTCACTTTCCTCATTTAAGATGATTTTTAAGAGATCTTAAAGATGCTCATTAGTTTATCCATTTTAAAATTATTTTTTACAATTTTTTATACTATTCCGTGTTTTATTATAATCTACATTATTTCATAATGTTTATTAAATAATATAGTAGTAGTAGTATATATATGTATTATTGATTGTTATTTTTATGAAGAAGACTGTCACAGAATTTATAATTTAAAAACATGTGGCCACTTTTGTTATTTGCAAAATACGCATAAACACTTCAAAGTTTTTAATAAACATTTTGAATTTTCAGTAAATAATAAGGAATCATGTATTCATATACATGGAAATTGATTTAATAACATATTATTCACACTCATAGCTATAATTTCACACAATTAAAATTAAATTCAACCGTGTTTTAAATTATTAAAAAATTAATATAAAATGGTTTAATTTTTATTTAAAAAAAATATATACTACCATTCATTTTCCTATCCTAACTTATCAATCTATTTTTTATAAAATGTATAAACATTAAAATAGGATTATAACAAAGGAAACAAAACACAATATAAAACTTTTATATTTAAATTTAATGCATACAAATATATCTTATAAAAATATGTATTTTCATAGACAACTGGTTAAGAAAATAAAAAATTAGGAAGCAATATGTTGTCAAACATTTTTAACAATAAAATTAAGTAGATTTTCATTAAATCTGTTACTTGTATGTAATTAATAAGCTACATAATAGAAAAAAGTAAATAATTTTGTAATAATTTACATTATTGTTATTCTAAATTAGGAGTAAAATAAGTAAAATTACTTTCAATCAAGCTATTATAAATCAGTCTTATTTGTACTCATAATACTAGCTTATGGTACAATTTCAGTTTGAGTAGCAGTAGGCCACAGAAATGGAACTTTGGAAATCAACTTAGACATTGCATTTTTAATGGAAACAAAATGGCGCTTAAATTCTAAACCACAGCCTCTTGAAAGTCTGAAGTCAATCAGAGTTTGATGATTCATTGGAATTACATTAGATTTAAACACTAAGCGCTGATCTGTAGTAGTAATTGTAATCTGTAACACAGTAAAATATTTATAATAATTACTTGTCTGTAACTATCAATTTTGGTTAATGTGATATATTTTATATTCGTTTAGAAACTAATATGACAATTAATACTTTCGAATTTTTACTTCTATCAATTGTTTGTATTCCCTTTTATTTTTATTATGTACCTTACACACTTTAATATAAAATGGCTTGATCATTTGCATTCTTATTTTCTATCTATATCTCTATCAGTGGCACTCAAATTTTATTTTATTTCACCTATACTTCAAAACCACTAGCTTTGTTCACATTGTACCCTTTGCACATTCATGCTCATTACAGAATAATAGAACATGTTCATAATTTTACATGTTTAAGTAGTTATATTTTAACTAGTATAAATCATGACTTATTCCAATTTCTTTTTTCGTTAAACTTTTAAATAAAATTTATACTTTAATATTAAAATATTAGATATTATTATACTTAATTCCTGATCTCTAGTCTTGGTTAAATAGTACACACATAATTATTCATCACCCACTCTTAAAATTTTGGTAGAGTAGTCGTTCTTAAAGATGTTATCAATATGCTACTGATTCCCGTCTTCCATTTACATCCTAGACATGTACCGAAGTGACAGTATAATTTCACAACTGTTTAGTTTAAACAATGGTTGCTAGCTGATCTATATTTGTCCCGTTAACCGCCATAACTCAGTGCGCTATATAGATTCCTATTTTAAATGAGACCATTATAACAAATAGATTAAACATGACAATTGTTTATCTGTTTCATATAGAAACAAAATAAAGTAATCTCTTCATTATTATTCTCTTATTATTAATTATAATAGATCATAAATATACCTAACTTTGCTTCTAGCTAATTGATCAGGCAATGATCATAATCATGGTTATATTTCTTCTCTCTCCATTCAACAGTTTATATAATATAACCATTTTTATAGAATATAATATTTTTGATATAATATACACCTACATTTTTTTTTCTTTTTTTATCCTCTTATTTTACCTCTTATGAACTACAGCATGTTATACTAAACACAGAACATGCAAATAATACCATAAAATGTAAATAAGATTGTCAGCAGTTTTCTTTATTATAATGTAACATAATAATTGTCAATAGATTTTTTTTTTGACATCTTATGATAGTTATTTATTTTTGAATACAAATTAAATTATTTTCTGCTTAAATATTAACTAATACCTAATAACAAGTAATAGTAATAATAGTAAGAACTTACTAAACTAGGTGTGTTAATTTTCCATGTATATCCCAAATCATCAAGAAACAGTGATAAATTGGTTAATGCTTCTTCCGGCGACAAACAAACAAGAAATCTAGTCATTCTTTTGACTAATTTCTGTATAGAATTCTGAAAATATAATAGTTATAAATAAACATAAATATAAACCTTATAAAATAATAAAAATAGTTTCCAATTACATTTGGTGGTGTAGAAATGGTCTGCGATGTTAAAAGTTGTGAAGAAAGCAGCAGATTGTCAACCTGTGTTGGCTGAGAAAATGAGTGTATTTCAGATTCACTTAATGACATTGATGTAACAGACGAAATAGCTGATGGGGCTGGTTGAGAAAAACATTGACGGCCATCGTCTGAATCACTGTCAGACCGAACAGAAATCCCAACTTTTTTATTATCTAAATGAACATTATAGTCATGAGTTATATTATAGTTAATAATTTAATCATATATTTTAATATAAATTAAAATATTATTGAAAATTATTTATCACACAGTTGGCATTATTGATATTAATAGTTTAGTTGTTCAAAAGTCACTTAGTGTTTAAATGCCTTAATGTGCATTAAATTATGTTAATTGCAATTAGATTGATTAAGTAAAATTTACCAGAAGTTTCTGACTTTTTGAACCAATGATGTGATTGAATCTGTGATATATCATATCTTTTAGATGGAGTTGGTGTTAATATCTTTCTTACTAGAGATAAGGCTAAAGTCTCCAATTTGCACCATGGTGAATGATTAGCATAGTCAGTGGTTTTCCACAATTTATAATCTTCATCATTATCAGATGGCATATCCCAAGGTAACTCTAAACAAATACAAAAAATGTTTGTGTTAAATTGAATAAATTATGTATTTTCTTTACAATTTACTTAATATCATTAACTATCTAGTATCTAATTTTATAAATTATTTGTATTATGTATAATTTAAGTAGTTAATACAATGTATCAAATAATAATATTAACATAGATTTTTAAATTTTATTTTTATAGTACTATAGTTAAGTAACAAACAAAAATATGGATAGTTGCTTAAATTTAAGGAAACAATCATATTATACAAAACTAACATACATTTTTTAACTTAAAATTATAATACTGAAAATGACTGATGCAGTATCAAATGGCAATAACTTTGGTACTAAAGCCTTAGAATTTAAAAATTACATCTACAGCTAGAATACCAAAGAGATCAACACTGACATATTAATTTTCAGTATAATATAGTAATTTATAAATAAATAATAACATTTAAGTTCAATGTATAATATAAATGATTATTGAAAATAATTACCTCCAGCGAGCATTGAAACCAATATAATACCACATGACCAAATATCGGAAGGTTCTGCTTGATAAGGCAAAAGTGAAAGAACTTCTGGAGCTAAATAAGGCCGAGTTCCACAATTCTTATCTAGTTTACGCCGCTAATTAAATTATTGTAAGATATTAGATAGTTATTTTAAGAGATAAGATTTAAAATTAATGAAACTACTTATTTAAAGAAATATATTTTTCATTTAATAATGAAAAAAAAAACCAAATTAATGATTTTATACATTAGTTGATACTATTTTTATTTTGTACAATTGGGTAAAATAAAAAATATATTATTTCAAGAGGATAATACACCCACTATCAATATATCTACCCACATTTGTTCACTATCTTAAAAATGTTTATATTTAGCTTAAATATTGAAATATTGAAAAAAATCCAACACTACATTGTTAATAACCTTAGTAATAAGTAAATTCACTCCAATATTGAAGCTAAAAACGTATGATAGGTTCTACTGAACACAAATTTGCAATTTTGTGAGAAGATAACAAATGCGGGTGTGGCAACCAGTAAAAAAAAAAACAAAACTATTGATAATATAGTTTTTATGAATAAAACATTATTTTATACTAATTTAGCTAAATTTTATGATTTCAGATGTATTTTGCTAATTTATTCATAAAGATTATGTTAATTTTAAAAAGAATTAGCAGTAGCATAACATTATACTAAGTGCATTGTGCGAGATAATAAAATATTATTTGATATACCCATTTTTTTTTTTTAATAAAAGACCCTTCTTTCACATGTATAACTATGGTATTATTAAATATATTGAACTAATTTAATGTTTTTGTAAAAAAAATTGTAGGTGTAAGCAAATATAATCTACCTCAAGTATCTAGTCTTTACTTATAGAACTCCTCTTGTAAGCCGCAGTAATGAATAGAGGTGTATCATTTTTTATTATTTTAATCATTACCTTAAATGGCCTAAATGATTATTATAAAAAACGAGAATACATAAATATTACTTACTTTTTCACCATATGAAAATAATGTAGCCAACCCAAAATCACTTATTTTCAAATTTCCATATGCGTCTAATAATAAATTTTCTGGTTTCAAATCTCTATGTGCTATACCATTACTGTGTAAATACTCCTAAAAAAATGATGTAAATTATAAACAAATAAAATATTATTTATTTAAAAACATACAACTCCAGCAATCAACTCTTTGAAGAACTTTCTAGCATCAGACAATGGCATTCCAACATCAGGTTCTAATTTTTCAAAACAATATTTGTTTAAATAAGTGTAATCACAATGCAATTATAAATTATTAGTAGGGCTGTTCCGAGATTTTTCGTGATCAGTGGTAAATTAATACGGGGGCCGCCTATTGACCATCATAATACAATATAATGAAAAAAATACTTATTGACATCAATTAAGTTCTTGCAAATGTATTTTTCCAAACCTGAACAACGACAAATCTCATTAAAATGTACGTACTGGTACATTTTAAGTAACTTCTTAGCTATAATATTACCAAATATACTAAGAAAATAAAATAATTTATCCCTAGGTAATTATAAATATTCATGGAAAATAAGAACTTAAATGTTTATAGGATTCAATAGATTAGGTAAATTTATAAAAATAAAAAAAAATTGTTGTATTATATTATTTTAAATAAACTATTTATAATTATACCAGAAAACTTTTTTCCTAGATTTTTTTCAGCAAAGCTGTTTATTACATAAAAACTTTAAGGGGATCCCCAGAAAATATTCCAAACTTGGAACTTGGAACAAAAAGATCCCCTCCCTTCTGAACAGCCCTGGTTATTAGTTATTATTATTACCATAAAATATTTAATTTATAAATTCTATAGAGATGATCTATCTAAAAATTAAAATTTTTTTTTAAAAATGAAATAAAAATGACTAGTTAATATTGATTGTACAATATAATATATTTATAGTAAAGAATTGACTCTATAGAATTTAAATAATCCAAACACTTAACAATATCAAATAAGTTTACCAATTCGATCAAATAGTTCACCTCCAGATGCATATTCTAAAAAAATATAATAATTATCTTTACAATGACGCTGTCCATAATATTTTATTATACTTGGATGATTCAATCGGCAATGTATTGCTGCTTCTTTTTTTACCATAGCCAATGCATTAGAATAGTTTTGTAAATCAACTGTTTTCATGGCTACAAAGCCTCGAGTCCGTTGATTTACTAAAAGTTTTACTCTGAAAATAATCAGAATATAATTAGAACCTATTTTTTTAGTATGAAATTTATCATAGGTACATACAAATTAAAATAAAATTAACATTTCATATATATTTGTAAGTATGTATAACCAAAGCTTAGCAAACTTATTTGAAGGAGCAAAAGATTTGTTATAACCTTTAGAATTAAAACAAATAAGATATAATTTATATATATATATACAAAATAAATAAATAATTTACTGATTTATTTTTATAGCATTTAAAAAAAAAAAAATAAATAAAAACAAGTTGATTCCATACTTAGGTACTTTAATATATTTAAAATGTACTGAATATTTAACCCAAGTTCAATAAAATTTATTAATTAAATACATTTTTTATTTATTTGGTTAAATAATTATAATAAGTCTAGTAACCAATTTTTAATGCAACATTGAATGTATAGTATATTAGCATACAAAAACAAAATATTATTTGTAAATAATTAAAAAAATAACATACTCGCCAAATGTCCCTTCGCCCAATATTTGAACAATATCCCATCCTTCAACAAATGGAGTATTCATTTTTAATTTTCAAACCTAAAACAATATTCTATTAGACACTAGTAGTAATTTCAATTAAGAAACAAAAATGTTAAAATTACAAAAAGAAAATTCAAAAAAGAAGTAATCCATAAATGAAATCAGTTAAGTGAATAGATTATTAATATAATCCGATTTTAAATACATAAATTTAAACTTACCTTTATCGTATTCGTTAAAAAAAAAAAAAAAAAACAATAAAAATTATAATTAACGCGATTTATAGTTAAACTCTAAACATTTCGGTAATAATTATATTAATAATAATAACAGTTTAACAAATTAAATAACTATCAGGCTTAATCACACACATCCGATATGTCAACAAGAAAGTATAACAGAACACAACAACTTCAGGTAACACACTAAACGACTAAAGAGTAAAGACTAAACCACTAAACTAAAAGAGCGCACAGCACACAGTGACCAGTGAAACAAAATAATGGAACAACGAATAAAATTGTAAATCCGTTAACCTCATTTTTAAAAGTGGATTTTTTTAGGTTATACTCGCCCACAATCGAATACCAACTATCGATTATCTGAAGATGTGAACTAAGTAGCGATTCTTTCCGTTTGTTATTATGATAATAATATGTAGTTTACTATCGACGGTGATAAGAAATGTAAACCAATGATAAGATCAAAGTCTTATAGCAGTATAGTATATATAACACTATAAAAAAGATTCTTGCAAATAAACTATTCATTTATAATATATATAGTATTTTGGTACTTTTGTTTATTCATAAAAAATTCTGACTAATATTATTGGTTTACACATAAATATAAATATTCAATATTACGGAAAAAATAATTTAATCTAAAAATGTGGATTTTACTAATATCCTCTACTTGACCAGTAATTACCTATGACCAGTCAAAAATTGTTAACTCTGTTACAAGTACTACAATCCAATATTTTTAGTGTGGGCTTTGCTAACAAAAAAACCAAGACAGAGTTTATTTATGTTAACTACTATAATTAATGGAGTTAACAAAATTTAACTAGAGAATATCAAGTATAATATGTTATTACAATATGGTGTGTTATACATAAACATAAACAAATTCATTTACTATCTATTTACTATTCAATGTTTAAGGTTTATAAATATAAAATAATATTTAGAACTAGATATTATACTTAAAGATGTCATAAACTCGAGTTTTCAAGTTGTGAATTAAATTGATAAAATTTGATTTAAAAAAAACTGTGTCTATAATTATATAACATTATTATTTGTCTAAATTTTGGAAATAATTTTTTATCCAGCTAAACCGATTAACTGTTTAACATATATGTGAATTTGAATTGGATATTCAATGAAAATAAGTAAAGAATGAAAGTTGACATTAACCATAGTCCATATTTAATTTAGGTATTCTAATAGTTTAATTTTATCTACTTAACATCCTCATAATATTATGGATGAAGTTAATATTTACCTCTGCAGATTGTAGGTAACTACAGGTTCCTCTAATTTTGTATAAAAGCATATTCACCCCACTAGATATTAATTTAATTAATATCTATATTAATAATAATTTTTTAAAATTATGATTATATATAATAACTGTATAAACTATTATAAAATTTGATTATAAAATTTCTTTAATAAGAATTATATAAATTTACTAAAGTTTTCCTTTTCATACTTTTAGTGTTAGTTTTATAAAAACAAGTCCATTCAACAGCATTATTATATACAATAAATAATATAATAGAAACACTTTCAAATATGTGTTGTTTTTTTGTCTGCATTACCTTATGCATCAGTAAAAATGCTTTGATTTTTAAAAATAGGGTTTTTGGTAGCAAATTGGATCTAGTTAGCACTTTGAAAAGGGGGTCATAAGTAAAAAATTATCAGTACTTTTTTGGGAAAAACATAATTTTTAACAAAATTTAGTTAGACAATTAAAAATATTGAAAATCTATATTCACAATATTTTTATATGCAATAATTCATAAAAAAAACGCAAAAATTAGTAAATTAGTTTGTAGTAAAAAATTCATAAAAATGTTTGTAATTTAAAATTTGAAAATTGAATACATGGTTCTTTATAAATTTTACAACTTAAATACAAAATGAGAAAAATCAAATTAATTTTTGAGAGCATTTCAAGTTTACATTTTTACGGCATTCGTTGTTCACCAATTAAATAATTATTTCTTCTCAAACAATTTTTGTTATTTTGATTTATTTAAAAAATTTAACTTTTCGAGTAGATTTTAGGCATGACAAATTCTTTTTTTTTATATTGATCAGCATTTCACGGTCTCAGCTTAGCCTGATAGCGTGGTTATTAACTACGACAAATCCGTTAAATAGAAATATTATCAGTTGATAATATTTATAAAGATACTCTTATTGTCTTATAATAGTATAATAGTATAATAGTATAATATAGTTTACTCTCAATTATCCAAAGTCTTCTGCGGAATCAATAAAAAATACTTCAATCACAAATTAAAAGAACTGTTTTCAAACAAAAAACAACAATTTGTAACTGATGTTTTTGCATATTAATAATTAATAATTTTTCATTATATGTACAAATGTATCTCAGGCACCGATCCAGAACAAAGATCCGGGGGAGGGGGCAAACAGTTTTTTTATAGGTACTTTATTTATAATTTAAATTTTTTGTTATAATAGTAGGTATAGGTAATCAATTTAATATATGGATTAGGTATTTAATATAATATATAATATTTATAAATTAAATAATAAAATCTAAACATCTTACATTATTGCTTTTTCCGATATATGTATGTCCACCTTGTATAATAATATATAGTATTGTCAGACGTATATCTGATTTTAAATATAGTAATATCAGAATTGAGGATCTAATGTCTGGTGGAGAGGGGTCGGGGGAGACTGGGCTCTCCTCTGGATTCATCCCTGGTATATCTTTGATTTTTTATTACAAAATTTAAAATATTTGCGTAATATTATATGAATGTTTAAATAAAAATAAAACATGCTTTAATTTAGTTTTCCTTAAATACTATTTAAAATTACATGATTTAATTTTTTTTTTAATAATACACGTATGCAATTATTTAATTTTTTTCAGATCTGCGGAATTTGCTTATCAATGGATGTCAACGTCAAGCCACCCTATTCCGCAGATAATCGAGAGTACACTGTATACTTAGTGTATATTACCTATATAAATATTAGCTAAAAAGTATCTATGTGAGTAAAAATATATACAAGTTACTTTCTCTTATATAACAACTGACCCTGTGGCGCAACGGATAACGCGTCTGACTACGGATCAGAAGATTCCAGGTTCGAATCCTGGCAGGGTCAACCAACGTTATTATTAGATTTTTGCAAATTGTCATCTTGGCATCTTGCCTTAATAATCTCTATAAAAAAATGACTGCCAAATTGAATAGAAAATTAATTAAATCAATGATTCCTTTAAGTATTAAAATTTAACACATTAAAACATGATAATTTTTAAATAATTTTAAAAAAGTTTTCAAAGCAAAAATAATTGAATTTATTACCTATTAAAATTTAACAAGATTTGGAAATATTATTATTAAAATAGAAATGTTAAGAAGGTTCATTTTGAACATCTTTTCAACTGAAAGTTCTGTACCATTAAAGTTATCATAAAATTAATTTTATAAGGAATTGCTGTAATGGACTCGTGTACCTATCAATTCAATTTTTGCGACCAAACCTAGTTCACTTCTAGTTAACAGGAAACAGTCAAACTCATTGTTATTTTTTTATTTGAATGCATTACAATAATAATGTAACCCATTGCAAATAAGCATAAACAATAAAAAATATGTAAATTATAATGACGCATATTGATAGTTGGCTATGCATAATGTTATGAATTCTTACTATAAATAAAGTTACTACATTATTGTGATTAATCTAACACAATTCGTCCAACCTCAGTCAAAGGTGTATTTTTATTTTAATGAATTTAATGATTTAATAACGTTCCGCATAATATACATATTTACATATTAATTAACATGGTAAATGAGTTTTTATACTAGAAACAATAACAAAATACATATAAATCTTTTAAAAGATTTTATATCTTTAGGTTTTGTGCATTTTTTATTTTTTTAACTAGTTATTTTTATTAATTTTGTTATTTCAAATTTTCTTAAAAATTAAAGCTAAGGTCTTCATTGGCAAGACACATCATACGATGTAAGAGTGAATTATTAAGGTAAGTAATTACGGTGGTAGAAGAAGGTTCAAGGCAGGGGCGGATCCAGCAATTTTCCATGGTGGGGGGAGGCATAAACAGCAAAAAAAAAAAGGTTATCTGATAAAAAAGCTTGACCCAATAATATCTTATTTTTATTTAATTTGGGGGGCCTTCGCCCCCGCCCCCCTTGGATCCACCACTGGTTCGAGGAAAGGAATATAATTTTTCAGTTGACGGATAGACATCCTAAAGTTATTCGTTAGACAATAGTATGCCAACAAAATCTGATAATCTGACTGCTCAGTTATAGTAGTTGACAAATAAATATTGTGTTAAACGTAATGTATGTTTAGGAAAATAATAGCAAACCACAATAATTATCTTTGCTCTTGTTAAATCATTTGGTGTTTGTAAAAAGTAGATAGACTCCATAAAATATAACCATACTTAAGAACAGATATAACTTAAAAAGATAATTAACAATTTAAAAGGAGCAACATAGAGAGAGAAAATAATGAATAATTGAAAACAAATATGTAATAGTGATACATTTTTAAACCCATTTATTTTTAATAATTTTGACAATGGAGAAAATATATAAAATAATATTAATATTTTTTTAATAATTTTTAAGGCCAGGTATTATAATTGTTAAGGCTTCACCAACAATGGTTATAGCCTACTTTTGTTCAAATATACAAATATTATATTAATATGGGTTTAATACCTAAAAAAAATAGATACTTAAGAATTATGCTTAATTAACTTATAACTTTTTTCTTATATTAATTATATTTTAATTTTTATAATTAAATATAACTTATATTAGTTTTTTTATAAATAACATTGGTTTAATGGAACAGTCAAATAGAAATAATAGAATAAATATAATGAATTAAAATGTTCACATAAATATTTATGTATAACACGTTTATACTATTTTTAAAACTTATACTAACTATTATTCTACTGAGTAAAGGTACTCAATAAATTTTAATTGAATGCGTAATGTCTGCACTTTCTATGCTATAACTATTAATAACTTTGAAAATGAAAAATGAACTTGTTTCAAGGTTGTTTGGAATGTTTGTGTAATGTAACACTAGCACTCAAAAAATTAAATATAAAATTATTAAGATCAATATTTTAAAGTCAAAGTCCTAGTGTGACGGGCCTTGGTTAGTATTATTATTTAACTTATTAGTTTTTCTTTGCTTAAAAATCTTAAGAATAATACTATAATAATTTTATTATACTTAAATTAA